GCATACTGCAATATTTTTGTAACTGTTTAATAAATAATATAAATGTAAAGAATATAATTTTAATTTATGTATATACACACATACACACACACACACACACCATGCAGCATGCGCGCGCGCGCGCACACACACACACACACACACAATATAATGAAAAGATCGTTTTATGTACATTGTTATACATTTCATCTTGCCAATAATAAAATTAAGGCAAAGTAGAAAGTAAAATAATATTAATTTCATTTCCTTTATCTTTATTTTTTCCTTTTTTGAAGAGATTAGGAATTACAAAATACAATCATTATTATTTCGTAAAACATTTTTGCATTCTTTTAAGCTATTAACGTTATTATTATAAGCTATTACGTTATAGCTATTACGTTATAGTTATTGGTATAAGCTAGATTAGATTAAGAATTAAATATTGTAAAATATTGTAATATGTAAATCTTTAGTTTGAAATAAATCTTTTATATAATTCAAGACAGAATGGAAGTTAGTTAAAAAATTACAGTTGAATAAAATTGTTTTAAGGATTACAAATCCGAAGTATTTCAATTAATTAAATATAAATGTAGAAATTAAATATCTTGAAAGATTTTTAAGAATGTAAAGCATAATCAATATCTGCATTTTTGGGAGTATTTAATAAAATATACACAAAAAATATATATTTAATAGTTTATTTTGTCATAATGTAATTTGATGTGTGGTTTTTCGTATAATTAAGCAACGTCCATTGCGTAATATAGATCCACAACAAGACCAATGATTAAACCCTGGATGTCCAATATGTCCATGGCCACAACCTTTGTACCCACCTTTAAAAAAAATTAATTTATTCTTTTTTTAATTTACTTTTGTATAAGTATGTAAATGTTTTATATTACAAAAGTATTATAATTATTTTTATGTATTAATTTCCTTTTCTTTTCAGTTCAAATAATTTTATTGTTATTATTCAGTTAATTTGTAAAATTAATTCTTACCAGGCATAGTACCTTTACAGCCGCAAGTTATTTCTTTTTTTCCACCACTAGAGCAAAATGTACAGCAATGATAAATACCGCTATGTGTAAGTCTCAAAGCTGATAATTTCGCATCTTCGTACCAATATTCTATATAACATACACGTATATAATACATATATTGCAGAAACTATATCAAATACGTACCATTTTTTTTATCCGCCGTTACATTAGGCACACCTAATTTATTTAATCTTCTTACTATTATACCAGCAAGCGTCAGTATTTCTATTTCAGAACCATCAGTAAGCAAATCATTTACTAATGAAATAGCATCCAAAAGATGTCGTGCTCTTTGTAATCGATCAAATTCTTGAATTCTTTCACGAGCATGTTTCATGTGAAGTAATAAAATTTTGTAGTCTCGTAAATTTGAAGCATGTGCATTATTCTCAGATCTATGTAAAGAAGAATAATTTCTTATTTATATATGCACTTGATATAACATCATCGAAATCTTCACATAAAAATAACAAATGTATCTTAAATCTTATATACAATTATAAATCTTTATATAAATCTTTATATAAAGATAATATTTATAAACATATATAACATAAACATTAAAATATTACAATTTATATAAATAGTAAAAATATATTTGTTTTCTATCACATTAACAATTAGTCACGAAACCTATTGCTCAACTTATATTTTGCAATAAATGTTGTCATGTGATGTAAATGTTTATTTCAATGTTTTATCGAACATTATTGGTAACGTGTATAAATCTAAATTAAATATTTCATTGTCATTTGAGGTATTGATACAGTGGAATCGATGAGAAGCATCTTTTATATTTAAGTGCTTCTTATGTATTTATTGATAATCTTATTTTATCTTAAAGATATCATTATAATTAAATGTAAAACTAAAAGCTTAGTAGGGCGAAGAGAAATGAAAATGCATGTAAAAATTTCTAAATACAAATACATAGATCTCTTAAAACCTAAAAAAAACTTATAGACATAAATCGGTTTTACACTATCTCCTAAGATAGAAAAATAGAATCTGCAGTAAATTGAATAATTATTTTTCAGCGTACAAGTGATAAAAAATAATTTAATTATTATTGTTGAGATATGCAGATGTTATATGCTGCAACTAAGAGCTACTCCCAGAAAATCTTCAAATCCGATTGTAATCGTTCCAGTTTGATCAGTATCTCTTGTTCTAAATGCTTCTGTAATATATTATAATAAATCGATTATTTTAAATATTATTATCAAGTTATTAAATGTATAAATGTTTTTATAATGACATCAAATTTCTATGCCTATAGTATGTAATATTACAATCATCTTACAATTTCATTCCTTATATATTTCCTTATATATTTAAATATGTTACCTGTAAACCTCTGTATTTGAACACACAGTACTATAAATTGGTCAACAGTAATAGACTGATGGCCACGAAGATCGCTTTTTTTTATAAGAAATTGAATAAACTCTGGACTAAGTCTATAACCCATTTGTGTTAGAGCTGCATTTAATTCACTCTCTTGTATACTGCCCGAGTTATCGTGATCAAAGCCACGAAACACGCCAAGCCAAGCATTTATATAATTGTAGAGAGCTTGAAACTCTGTCACGTTTATAGTGCCATTTTTTTCTTTGTCGAACATACCTGTAAATTAAGTAAAATTATTCTGAGTACAACAATCATACAAATACAAATATCTTTAATATACCGATTTCAAGACCTAATTCACTTATTTTCTTATATCTATTTATACTGAACAACTGAAAATAAAAATGTACTTTTTATTTTAAATTAAATTATTAAGTTAATATTAACTATAATTACAAATGTTACAATTACAAATGTTATTGTTTCTAAATTTTATAAATCATGCCGGTCATTTACAGGCAGTAATACAAATGCATCATAACATCATGTTTTGTACAATCTGAGATTTCTCACTTTCGACCGTGTAATCGAGCAGTTGGTCATCCTAACAACTACTGTAACTGTTCTTGAAGATGCACCGTATTTTGAGAGACGATCGACGTTTTGAATTTCAATGTTTGCTGCTACATTGATTATGAATTTGCGATTCGTTTACATCTAAGTAGATTTATTTGTATTTTTTATTTTCTTGCGCTGAAGAAGGCTGAAAGATCAGCCGAAACGTCCGCTTTATGTTATTTTGATTATGTTACATTGATTACTATTAAATTTTACGCACTCTTAGTACTGCGCTGTGCTCTCATTGCCATTATATCCCATTCTTATATTCTTTTATCGGGAGCCTTATCTTATATTCAATTTATAAATCTTCATATCCTGATTTTAATAACATTAATCACTAATAATCTATATATCATTCAGTGTATTAATCAATCGAGTTATCTTAGGAGAGTTTAGAATTAAATATATCCTTTTTCTCTTAATAATTAAATATATATAAAATCTTCAAACATACCAATCATTAACTTGCATGCAGTGTCAGAAAATGTTCCCCCTTGACCATTGGCCAATGCTGATTGCAATTCTAAAGCTGTTATCTGTCCACTTCCATCTTTGTCCACTGTAGAGAACCATTGTTGTATTTCTGGGCTTACTCCAGATCCAGGATTGGTAGAGCCATACATCGCACTCTTGAAGAAATGGATTAAATAAATAATACAACTGAGAAAGATCAAGTTCAGACAAGCTGTGATAAAAAAAAATACCAACCTACACATAGAGCTTAATTTTTGAATACTTAAATTTTTTCATGCTTAGAAAAATTTATGCACGGATTAGCAAACATTAAACACGAATTTGAAATATAAATTGATAATTTTTAATTTTAAAATTTTTCTGTGATAATCAAATTCCTGATATGTGAGATTTCCTATTATTATATAAAATCAGACTGCTTGGTTATCAAAGAACAGTAAGATGCTATGTTAAATCAAGATAAAAATAAAATAAGATTTACACGATAAATGTAATTTAAAACTTACAGGTCGTACAGGTTAAATTTAACATACGCGTGATCAAGCATTCACGGTAAAGATCACACAGGACAAAAATAACGAAAATAGTAACAAAGCGTGCTATAGTTGTTGCTACATAGATAGACAGGTACAGAATTGTTATAACCATTCAGAGAATTACCGGATAAGCCATGACTTTCTAACCGTAGGACAGTACGATAAATTATAATGTAGAATTCTTGTTTACGCTGTCATCACAAAATTCTGCGTTACCAATAATGTTATATAATAACAAACATATTCACGCGCTAATAACATACTTCATCGAAACATACTGGACAGGACTGGAAGGGATCTAGATCTTTATGACGTATATATGAATCGCTCTCGACGATTCTCTATGATACTTCTGTATTAGCGAAGTAGCGTAATTTTCAAAGAATCGCAAGTTATGCGATTCTTTGAAAAGTAAAATGTAAAAAAAAGAATGAACAATGGGTGTTTTTCAATCACTGACAAAATACTATTAAAGATCGACAAAAATTTGGAATATTTTTAAGAATGATTAGCTATTTGTAATGCAATATTGAATTTATTATTCGAATGTTTTTTTATACTCATTTCTACCAATGTAGATTAACTTGAGATGTTATTGTAAAATAAAAAATATATAATTTAGGGAAACGCGTTGCGAAATGTTTTCTTTATCCTTTATATTTATTAAGGCTGAGTTTCAATATTCACTGTTAATATTTAAAATCTATAATATATGTGACACGAACTATATATTTTGCTAATAAATTCACAGAATGAATTAACACGGACCGGACACGCACCATATCTATTTTGCGAGATATGATTTTTATCGATGACAGATGTTCTAAAATAGATGTGATTTATAATTTCAAGCTCAATTATAGACGTTGATAGCGATAGCGTACAATGATTTCGACGAAAAAGGCCGGGATAGCCGTTTTCAGGCTTTCTGCTATAGTTCAGAGGTCGCCATCAATCGTGTCGCCATCTTCTAAACACGATTATCACTTCGATTAACTTCGTGGTTGATGTTTTTTGCGACATGTTTTGATCCAGATTTTCGTCCAGAATAATCGTTTAAAAATCGTCCAGAATAATCGTTTAAAAATCTTCCAGACACTTCTGAATTGATAATTGATTTCTATCTTATTATTCTTGCTCGCCGAGTTATTTCACCGAACTCTGCCGCGACCGCTGAGAATCTCGTGGCGCGTTATTGGCAACACTTCACAACATTTCACCGAGTAATCTTGCGTTTGTCAACCAGAGTTGTCGCGAGTGATCTTGCGAGAGGTAGTATTTTATTTACGTGACATTTTTAAGTGAAACGGAGAGAGGAAGCCGAATCCCTGTGCCCGCGTCGTGATTTGGAATAATCCGTTTCCGAAAACAAACCAGGCATGGATGATTTGCAGAATTACAAGCTGCAGCTCCAACAGGTGAATCTTGTTTTTTCTTTCTTAACCTCGCGGTAGCGATCGATCAAACGATGATGGTCTCGATCGTCTTATCTAGCTATTACATTCTCGTTCGACGGACTGGTTTCATCATGCTCTTTTCCTCATGCTTCAGGTGGAAGCGGCTCTTACGACAGATCCGAATAACGAGGAGTTGATAAAGCTGAAATTCGATCTGAAGGAAGTAATAAAGCTGACACATGATTTAATTAAGTCACAACAGCAGGAAAAAAGACAAGCCAATGGCATGGATGCTAAAGATCCTATTTTGCTTGCAGTTCTGGCGAATAAGTGGAAAGTTGGCGATCAGTGTATGGCACCTTGGAGTGAGGACGGCAAGTGAGTATGATATTGTTATTACTTGCGTTTATATTTTGGTTTGGAATTTTACAACAGATTATATAATTCATACAATGTAATATTGTTATGTTACAATGTTGTCGATATATAACATGTCTCTGTTATTATTATTTTACCCCAGTTATTGTTATTAAAAACTAATAAGGTTTAAAGGAAAAAATTTACAGTGGAAAGTCAGATGGTCAAACAAGAATTTTGGCAAAATTATTTATTTTACTTTTGAAATTTATTTTTCAGTTAATATCGGATAGACTTTATTTTAAGAGAATTTTACTTTAATTTTTTGCTATCAAACTTTATCTAACATTGAACATTAAAGAAAACATTAAAGAGACATTTTGAAAGAGCCAAGAATACTAAGCAAGTATCACTCATGAATCATCGACTATTTGTGATAAAAAAATACAATATATTGATGATAATCTATATGAAGTGCAATGATTATCCTGAAATATTTCAAGCAATTTTTTTCAATATTTTGAAAAATTTTACAGATATTATGAAGCAACTATAGACTCGATAGGTGAAGATGGAGTTGTAAATGTGACGTTCAATGAATACAAGAACACTGATGTTACTATGCTCAGTCAACTGAAGTCTGTTGCTAAGAGGCCAGCGTCGGACTGGGCAGATCAAAAATCAAAGTAAATAAATTTCCAGTTTGATGTTTATGAGAACACATCATTATAGATTAATATAAGACATTCTTGACAATTTTGCACGTGTCTGTTTTTATGAGAAACAAAAGATATAAGGTGACAATTTACTAATCATCTGTTTTTCCCCTCCCATTTCTCATTTTTGAATTGGCAACAATAACTCCACCATTGGTACGATATTTGGTCATATGCTCCTTATTGTTCATTTATCCTTTGATGACATGCGGTCTATATGCATCGTCGGCTTCAGGAAAAGGTAACAGGAATTGTCTGATCCTCTGGTACCACATCTTTGAGAAACAAATTATTAATATAATTATATAATTATATGTGTGTGCAAAAGAAATTGAGAATAAATTTGTTATAAATGTACATCTATTAGATAATGTGGTAAAATAATATATTATTTTTTAAAATACATATATTATTTTGCTTTTTTATATTAAAACAAGTGTGTCCATTTTTATAAGTAAATTATAAATAATTATAAATAATGGTACATATATTAAAATGTGTCAATATTTATATTCATTAAGCTGATAAAAATATAAAAATATTAATAGTGCGTTTTTTAAAAATCATTTAATATATATAATTAAAAATATATATAAATTTATATATAAATTTATATATAAATTTAATATATATAAATTTTAGTTATCTATTTATTTAACTAAATGAGATAGATTTTTTTTTATTTACAGAAAGATGCAAGCAGCTGCGGTTACGGGTTCGGATCCAAATAAGCAAAGGGAATACCTTAAAAAGAAGAAGCAAAGGAAATTGCAGCGTTTCAAAGAACTGGAGGAGGAACGTGAATTGGAAAAGAACAAATGGTTAGCTTTCACGAATAAGGTATGGCTTTATTTATATAGCATATATTTATATTGAAAATGTATTGAAACACGTCTTTCTTATATGTAATTTTGTTCTCTGCAGTCTTCAAAGAAAGGCGTCATAAAGAAGAGCATCTTCGCGACACCAGAAAATGTAAACGGTCGTGTAGGAATTGGTACCTGCGGTGTTAGCGGTCGGGAAATGACAAAGTTCAGTAACGGGGAAAAGTGGAGGCGAGGAGCTTAAATAACGTATATGTAAATAAATAGATACTGTGTAACTCGGTGAAAGCGCTAGAGTTTTGTGGAATTATATTGCTATATTATATCAGAGACTGATACATGAACGCTTTTGCGATATACGGGACGCAGAAACGTGATAGTGGGATTAATGACGGTTTTAAGTGAGAGAGAGAGAGAGAGAGAGAGAGAGAGTGTGCAGATAATACCTTCTATCACTAACAGAGCGATTCTATGAGTATCGAGACGATTTCGTATTTTTTACCATAATAATTCGAAAATAATTGCAGTGAATAAATGTGTTTTTAGATTAATACATTTCCGTGAACATAATTTGTTTACAATCTCATTGATACAAATAAATGTATATTTTAACGTGCAGCTTTATGAAAGTATTTTCATCTTTAAGAGAGTGTGAATGATATGTATATGTGTAATATAAATTAAGTAAAAGTAAATTTAAAAATAAAACAATAGATAATATTAGATATTAATATTTAAGTTCTTAATAGATAAAGTTCTTATAACATTTTATGTTTTATTAAAATATGCCAGAATAACTGGTAAAATCAATATTTTTTGATTATTTTAGACTCGCTTAATAAACAAAATTTGACTAGGTATTCGGTTCTTTAATATACTTCGTCGGTGATGTAGATTAACGATTAGCGTCAGAAGAATCAAAATGGTGGCTTCTTTCGCCCTATCATAACGTCACTAGGGAGCGATAAATATCACGAAAAAATGCGGACTCAGCGCTTTGATAAAGCGAAGAAATAACTGTTACATGAGGAATATTCGTCGCGCTTGTAATGCGGGATTTATATCTTATTTTTTCATGAATTTCGCGTTCTAACCTATAACCATAATCGTCGCGTGATGAAAATATTATAAAGAAAATTTCAGATTGCAAATTACGACGGGCACAGCATTATTACTTTATGGATACAAAGGACCTTTTTTCATGCAAAGAGGAATCTTCACGTGAATGAGGGTGATATCAACGAAAAGAAAACTGATATTCTTTGTACGGTTTCTATATACCGTTACACAAAGGAAGCATGGGATCGAACGAAGAAAATAGACTTCCAAATGGTGACGTCCGGGTGCACAGAGACGTCGATTGGACTAGATATGGTTTGCGCGATCCGGAGGCACAGGATAACGCGAAAAGGGATAACGAAGGTGGTAATAATGCCCTTGATCCCGAGATGTATCCAGCTGGTGCAAACGAACTGTTCGCACAGGAATACGTAAGGGATATAATACAGAATGGATTCATTGTGCAGTTACGGGTATCACAGCCATTCTTTATATTCTTCATAGAGCTCAGATCCTTGGTGGAAATCTAACTTCTTCATCTCCCAGCCTGTGTTATTTGGCACTTGGGATGGAGTTTTTACATCTTGCCTTATTAACATATTTGGAGTGATAGTATTTCTGAGATCGGGTTGGATAGTTGGTCAAGCTGGTGTTTTAAATGCAGTACTGATTATATTTTGTACAGGTAACATTAATGGACATATAATCGATATTATTATTATTATTATTATTATTATTATTATTACTATATATTAAAATGATTCCAGTATGTATCGCATTGGTAACAGTACTCTCAGCTGTTGGCATATGTGAACGATGTAGAGTTGAAAGTGGTGGAGTTTATTTTTTGTTGTCACATGTGCTGGGTTCTAGATTTGGTGGCTCCATCGGATTGCTCTATTGCTTTGGGCAGGTAAGAACAAACATACTAATTCTTCCTGTTTTTATCAGCGATTCCAAGAATCGGTTTGTGGATTTTATTTCAGGCGGTGGGTTGTGCTCTAAACGTTTTAGGTTTTGGGGAATCGATGGCTGGTCTTGTAAGTTTAGATTCGGCATGGGCACAACGTGGTTTTGCATGTGCAGCCGTTGTGCTATTGTCTGTAATTAATGTGGCTGGTGTTAAATGGGTTGTAAAGTTGCAATTTGTTCTTCTTCTGATCCTACTCCTCGCTGGAGTTGACTTCATGGTTGGAAGTTTCACTCACACCAATATTGGTAAAATGATACAATAAATTGTCACAGAACTGCACATTCTACGATATATAATTATGCAGGATATCTTTATTTATATACATTCTTCCATGTATATACATAGTTGTTAAAGCTACCATTTATATCGGCAGATTCCGGTTTTGAAGGTTGGTTATCAGGAAATTTAAGAAATAACACTTTCCCTGATTATCAAGATGGATACAACTGGTTTACCGTGTTCGGTGTGTTCTTTCCAACTGTCACTGGGGTCTTAGCTGGAATTAATATGAGTGGAGATTTAAGACATCCATCTAGTGATATTCCTAATGGTACTTTAGCAGCATTAGGAACTGGGTAAGAAGACTTATCTCTGATGTGAGAAATCTTCCTTTTACATCGTACGTTAAAATAATTGTTTGCAGAACGTTTTTGTACCTGTGTTTCTCGTTGACTCTTGCGGCAACCTGCGTCAGAAACTCTTTACTTACTAATTTTACGATAGCATCAACAGTATCAGCGATCTCAGTATTACTACTCGCTGGTCTCTATGTATCATCGTTTAGCAGCTGTTTGGGTGCCATGTATGGTACACCTCGCGTTCTGCAATCCATCGCCAGCCAAAATGTTATACCAGGAATGAGTTGCTTGCAAAGAGGGGTGATTATTTTTTTTCTTTGATTTTTTTTTTTTGATTATTTTTTCATTTTTAATTCTTTTAGATATGCCAGATAACAGTATCAGATTTTAGACTTGATCTCTACACTTGAGAAAATTTATAAATTCTTTATATTATATATGAAATCTTGAAATCTTGTATCATCCGATGAATTTATTAATAATAATAATTATTTCATTTCCAGAGAGGACCAAATAAAGTACCTATATATGCTATGCTGGTTGTCGCTGTGGTAACATTGACTTTTATCATTACCGGACAGATTAATACACTCGCTCCCATAGTGACGATGCCATTCCTGTTAACATATGCCTGCTTAGATTACGCGTACTTCGCCCTCGCGCAAACGTTTGATCTTCGACATACGCGCGAGCAACGATTTTGCACACAATCGCCAACATTCGATCGCAATTACGGTTCTGCAAGTAGGAACAATTCGATAACTGACACGGATAATGACTTGGATAATTTGTTTCCTGAGAGAATAAGGCATAAAAATGTTATGGTAAGGAATTATGTCTATTGAAATCCGAATCATTGCATTGTCGCGCGTTTTGAAAAATTCAAATTTATCCAATAATGTTTAATATTTTAATATAGAGAAACAATAGTATTTCTGATAATAACGTGTATGTGGATTCGTCGCCGAGCATTGAGGACAATGCTAGTGTTTCCAGCACACCAGAACGAAAAGTTCATATACACAATAAATTAGGAAATTGGTATAGTCCTTTATGCAACAGATGGTTTTCGCTATTGGGCGTAAGTACTTAAAATCATATTCTTTCATATTAAAAGATGAAAAATTTCATAATTACATTGAAGGTTAATGTTATGTATATATTTATATTGCAGTGTCTTGTAAAATTATTAATAATGTTTCTCGTACATTGGGGATATGCGATTGCTAATATTGTCGTCGTATTTCTCGTCTGGAGTTACGTTGGTCATGCTAATCCTGCCGTGAAACCTGGAGTTTCGGCAGAATTCCAACTCTTTAAATGGTTTCGAATTGCATTACTTCGAATTATGGGGTAAATTTAATTTGTTTTTATACAGTAATTTTAATTATGGGGTAAATTTAATTTGTTATTATATAGTAATTTTAAATTAATTATCCGGTTAAAATGTTTATAAAAATAAAATATATTAAATACACTTTAATACACGCATTTAAAATGAAGTGCAGCATAAATATATTAGGACAATTTGCATTTTATCATTATAGGAGAAAAGTTTACGATTACGAACAGATTGTAGTGACTCCGATGCATCCAGGCGTTGAAACATGTTCGGCTCAATTGAATGAGGAGAATGAAGATTTTTCAGGAAGAAGAAGATATCATCAAACCGCTACAGTTACAGGTCAATATGTCAATGTCGACTAAATTATGTGATCTTTTTAATATTATGTATTATACGAGTTTTCGGTAGTGAACGCGCATCTTTCAGACTATATTTTAGTGGCGAAAACAGATTACAAATGCATATATATTAACGTCTAATATTTAATACGATACTTCAAGACCTGACAAAGAGCAGCTTGCAACAATTTTAATTTAGGCAAATATTATTTTTACTTTATTTTATAATGTTGTCTATCGCACAAACAGCTAGTCTAACCGAATTTATTTAATACACGTATTTAAAATGAAGTGCAGCATAAATGCGGCGTTAAAAGCATTTTAACAATCAATAAGACAGTGGGCTATATGCAAAGTTGATTGTATGAAACGTACAAAGAACTGATGTAACAGTAGTGTTAGGTTTTTATATTTACTTATTGTAATTGTCGTACAGTCGGGATAGTCTATTACTGAAGGTAATAATTTATCCTTAGTGTCATTCAACTTGATAAACATACGAAAGAAAATATTCATTTCGTCTGATATCAAAGTTAATAAGATACCTGATAGAATTCATCATCTTTGATACCATTTTTTTATAATATCGAATTTTTCAAATTTATTGATGATTGATTGAAGTAATAATAATGGCAAGTACGGCAATTGCATCGTGCATGAAAATACTCTGTAAATACCTGATAATATATTTATACACTATTTAACACTTTTATAATTCTCGTACAAATGCACGAACAAATTTGTAACTGCAAAAAGAAATTATATATCTATATTTATGTGTGAAAGAGAAGTCTAATATAATTGTTATCAATTTTCCTGTTTACTTTATGAATTGTTTAAATCTACCAAAACAAATGTTAACGAAAATACATTAATTTTTTACATATAGAATTACTATCCTTTTGGTTGCAGCATCAATAAGACAGTTTATCCAAATTTGATAAAAGTTGTCATAATTGTGTATGTGCTTGTTCTTAAAATATTAGGAGATTGTTCAATGATTATTGTAATGCATTATAAGAGAAAGTCATATGATATATTAATTCTACGACAAAAAGAAATACAAGCAGTATTCTTCGATAATTTCCATGTATATATATATATAACAATAATCCTATATTATAAAAATTATTTTACAGTAATCAACGAATATATTTCTCTTAAAGAAATTTATATCGTGAAAATTATTATATTACCGAAAATCTCTATCCTACAGATGAGACTATTAGGTCAGCAACGTCTGGATCTTGACAAAGAACTGACAACTGCATCGTAACTTGCGTTCCACTCAGCGCTAATCTTGCACGCGCTAAAACTTCCTTACCTCCTCGGAAGACACCACTTAAGAATAGATTATGAGCAGCCGCTCCGCTCTGTACCCTATTACTACGTTCCACAGCTTCCAAGCCTAAGAATCCCGTAAGGCTTTGAATTGCTCCTTCTAAAGATGTCACTGAAGCTCCTAAAGCGAATGTCTCTTCCAGTTTGACAAATCCCTTTGCAGCATACGTTTCCCAAGCGGCATTAAAGTCCATGCCTCTGTTACCAACCCCACGTACTTGATCGGCTAGAGTTACTTCCAAATCTTCCAACTGAAAAAATTGTGGTTTATGTGTATTTATTGATATTTTTTATAAACAAATTTTTTATTTTAATATTTTGCAAATATTTTTTTATAAAATTTCAAAGAGGTTATTACTTGTGTATCAGTGTATTGCTTTAAAAAATATTTATATGCGCGTCTTTCATTTCCATTATATTATTAAAAGTAATTTTTTACCATATATTCATCATGATATCCTTGATCCGCATCTGGTATTCCCGTGGTTGGATCGCAATCTCTTGCCATAAATCGAAGTGTCGTGGGAATGGTAGCGACGCTAGCGTGTACGTCTTCCGGATATTTTAATACTGTGTAGGTGGTTCCTGGTTCGTTGTAAGGTAATCGCGGACATGGTTCTACGCATACAACGGAATAGCTGAAACAAATAGCTCGTTAGCTATTGTACAAAGAATATAAAGAATAACATATATAATCGAGTAATTTACCCTTCGGAAGGTTCGACCGCCACTACCACATCTTCGAGGAGTTGATCGGAAAGTGTATTAACGCAGTCAAATTGTAGAATAAGATATTCGGGAAATGTATGTTTGATGCATTTGACGTTATATTCCGTCTCGGATTCCGTTAATTCGAACACTGGCGAAGATTTGAGGAGCGATGTGTCTCGAATAATCATAGCTAAATGCGGGATTTGTGATAATTTTTCCATAAAACTCTCTTCTCTAGTCAAACGAGGTTGCTTGATAGTAGTGTGCACTTCCACTTGGGCTGGTTCTTCTACCGTTTGCGCTGGAGGTATCTGTAATCCAATTTTTGTATAAGTAAATATAATTTCTACTTAACTTAAATTTTTACGAAAATTAAAGAGGAAAAACACAAAGAGAAATACCTGAGAAATGTCGAACGATTCTTCCATAGGTGTTTGCATATAATTTCGTAAGGCCCTTTCTAGTGTTGGCACCGATAGTAAAGGCGGTTGCACCAGAGGCAATATAGTTGGGTCGTTCTGCTGTTGCAGGATCGTGCAGTAGTAAGCTGCACGATCGCGAACTTCATCATCCGAATCCAACTGACAACGTGAAAGCAGCACCAAGACGTTTGGAAGTAAAAGTGGACAGGCCGCAGCAAAACGCGCCAAGGCGGTAACAGCTGCTGCGCGTACGCTAGCGCTTTCGAGGATAACGCGATTGTAGATAAAACGGATGTATCTCGATGGTTGTTTCGACGTAGGTCCCTCTTGACCAAGTAGATGCAAAATGCGCACGGCAAGGGAAATGTGTTCACAATCTTCGATAAATTCACAGAGATGCGCAAGTCCCGCTTCCTTGGCTTCTGCATTTCCTTCCATTACAGCTATAATAGTGTCGGCAATCGCCGCTTTGTATTCGAGTCCACCCTCGTCTCTCAACATAGCTGAGAGGAAGTTCATCAAGACTGCGTGCTTGCGAGGGAATTTTTGACATAAAGCTCTGAAAAAAAAGGTTTTTTAAGAAAGAAGTTACGCATATTAGTAAAGTAATAGCTAGAGCAAAATAAAATTTACCTAATAGCTTGCACCACCACGACCTTAAATTCATCCGAAATTTCCGATACAAAAGTAGCGATCTGCTTCATCAGACGGTCAACAGAACTCTCTGCTCCAGTTTTTAAGAGAGTAGTAATTGCTAAAGTAGCAATCGATCTATTTGAATCCGTGATCAGATTTTCTAAATCCAAGTTGCAAGCTGTGACTGCTGCTGGATGAGACATCGCGACCTTATTAAGGGTTCTGACTGCGGCAAAGCGGAGTGCTGGTTTTGGCGAACCACAGAATAACTGTAAAACGCTGATTGCAGGTCCGATTTCTCTGGCACCGCTTCGCCCAAGGTTGACCAAAGCATGAGCCGCTTCGTACACCACCATTTCGGACTTGTGTCGCAAACAAGATTCGATGAATCCTATCAGTTCTTCGCCCTCGTCCACTTCATCTAATAATTTATATGCCATTCTAATCAGCATGCATGCTGCGTAAGGACTCTTTGGACTTGTCTTCATAAGTTTGGCGACCAGTTTGATAACCGCATGCTTGTCTGCTTTACGTGCTTGATATAGAACGCCCAAAGCATGATATTGAACCATTACATTGCTTGAATTTAACGCTTCTTGTGCCTCATTTGCCCATCTCCTCGCTACATCACTGGACACACTTGTCAAATGCAAAGAAGAAACAAGGGCAGCACTGGATACTGCCGGTGAACGATCGACTATAGCTTGCTTCATGTAACGTTCAATGGCCGCCAACATGCTACCATCGGTGATAGTGCAAAGCGCTCGAATAGCAGCAGCCCTATATAAATCCTCCTTTCCTGTCATGTCTTTTGTAAGACTGGAAGTGACTATAATTACATCCTCGGCTAAAGAACTTAATTCTTTGATGCCTAGATAGACTAGTCGTCTTAATATAACGTCACGTGACTGAAATAACTTGGTCATGGCAAAGAAAGCCTCCGTGGCTTCCGTTGTACCCAACTGTTCGCCTTGATTGAGCAGATACAGAATCTTGGTGAGGATGTGAGCGCATTTTCTCGGATTTACGGGCGTATTGTTGAATGTACGTGCTTCCTGAAGAACCGTGGTCTTCTCTAAGTTTTGGAATGGGTTTCCACCACCTTGATCAAACAGGAAAGATCACAGTTAGTGCTCGGTAATGTTCAATATCAAATTCCAATAAAATTTGTAATTCATATTTTAAAATTTATGTTCATGAGATGTTACTACACACTCCTAACAATTATACTTATTATTCACATCTGTTAAAAAATGTGTTTACTTTTAATTGTCAGAAACTAGCTGACATTTCTAACCTGCGCGAAAATTCTAATTTTCACTCATGAATAATTCTTAGACTAAGAATGATAGAATTATAATTAATGATTACCATCCTCCTCTTCCTTCTTGTCGCGCTTAAATGCAATCATTTTTTATTAAGGACAAAATTTCGTAAAATGAAGCTATTACGACACGTCACCTCGACGTGTTCTAGACGGCCATTGCAGTTTCTGTCTTCCACTACCTTTCCTACAAAACATCATGGACGAAGCTTAAATATCCTTATAGAGCGTAAATCTCGATTCACAATAGTGTCGGTCCACAATAGGTGATTTAAGCTTCAAGAAGTAAGAAATTGATCAATTATAATCAAATATGAAAAGAATAATCGACTATGATTGGTCAATTTCTTACTTCTTGAAGCTTAAATCACCTATTGTGAACCGACACAAGGGAGAACAAAGTTTGAAGTATAAAAAATCATTGCTATTATGGTATTCCAATTTATCTATTTTTATGTCGTTTGACATTGCCTGATGTTGTAACGATGCGATCAAGTATTATAATCACAGATTATCAGATTTCTATATAGGCTGCGTTCCGATATTCATTGCAAGTACTGAAAATCTATAATATACGTGACTTGAACTATATATTTTCAGTTCTGGCAATGAATATCGGAACGCAGCCATAATACTAACATCTGTACAAAAATGATTCGAAAAAGTAATGCGTTATATGATCAAAGTTGACGCAGAATAGTAAAATTTTAACAATCATTTTTGATCTATTTTAATGTTAAAAATAAAAGTCAAACGTCAACATAAAAAGACACCTTTATCTCAAAAAATATACAAAAGTTCTATAGTGTACATCACGTATATTATAGATTTTCGTATGCGATATAAATTCAAAAAATAGATATATTCCCTATAACTGCATTACGTTAATTTTGTATTTGAAACGAAAGGGATACGTGCAATTAAAGAATAAAAATAAGAAAGATGAAAGGCGCAGAAAGCTCTGCCGCGAAAGGACGCGTTTGTCGATAAGAGAGAAATATTCAGTAGATTTTCACATGCGCGCGCGACGTATGCGTGTACTTATCGTAAGCGGACATGCTCGTTCCACGGTTGACGGCTGTCAAGCCGAGGCGGACGTGAAACGGAGGGACGTCGTCGGTCGGTCGGTCGGTCGGTCGTAATGAGATGGTGCGCGTTGCGTGCGGTGTGCAAACCAGCCGCGAGTCGAAAATAAGATTACGAGTGTCCGCGTGCTACATCGGTGTCTCGACGCGTGTAAACATCGAGGGTGATGTGATGCCGCGATAACGCGGATATTTCATTTCGTTTGCGCAATGACGTGTTCTCGACTGCACGTTCTACTGCGCGGAATCCTTTGAGGAAGAAGGGCCGCGCTCGTGCTTGCTTCGCAGAGCGACGTAAGGGCTCGAGTCGTAAGCGGTCGCGAGCGATCGTGGTCTCGTGGCTCTGCAATGCCGCTGCGTTCCAGCGGACCGAGGATTGACACGTTGTTAATGAGGGCCGCGATCGGCGGGCACACATTCCTCTGCGCGCCGACGACCCGGTGAACAGAATGGGCAAGCAAAACGGTTCGTGCTGGTGGTGCGTCAAGGCCGTCAAGTGGTTGCCAGTGATCTTCATCCTGACGATCGTCGCATGGTCTTATTACGCCTACGTGGTACAACTTTGCTACTGTGAGTGTCCGAGTATGGATCGTTCTCGCGTCAATTTTTGTTTCACCTCGTTTAAGGCAACTGACTGTCAGTTTCAAATTGATGAAATTGACGTCCTCGTCAATTTCTTTTTGCATTCTATCATAAAAAAATGCGTGCTTACGCATGTCTTCTGTTACATATAATCGGTTTTTATTTTGCAATTGACGCGACAGAGTTCTTATCTTGAGATGGATCTCTTATACCCGATTCCACATAGATTAATTCCACCGACACAGATCAATTCCACTAACATAAATTTACTTTAATCTCGGTTCAACTTACTCTTTATCTTTTTCTAGTTCTAAGTGTCGGTCCACAATAAGTATTTAATCTTTAAGTCGTAAGAAATTGATCAATCATAGTCAATTATTCTTTTCATATTCGATTATAATTGGTCAATTTCTTATTTCTTAAAGCTTAAATGACCTATTATGGACCGACACTAAGAATTAGAAAAAGATGAAGAGCAAGTTGAACCGAGATTAAAGTAAATCTATGTTGGTGGAATTGAGCATTAATCTCTTAAGTATTATACTTTTTTTAATGACGTTTTATATAATCTGTGTGAGTACATAAATATAAGTAAAATAAAACGTCACAAAATTATGCATAGTTTGATGTAATAAATAAATAAATATATATATATACATACATACAAAGAGCAATTTTATAAATGAAAGTTATTTATTACTTAAACTTATTTTACAGTTGTGTTATTTTATTATAGATCAGTATTATAGATCAGTAGTAAAATAAGATTCTTATCTAAAAACTTTTTATTATATTATAATATATATTTGTTTCAGATACGATAGATAATTATGTTCAAAAAGGTTTGTATTATCTTAATTATACATTAACTTTTATACTTTCCCTCGCAATTTGATACTTTATTTGCCTATTTTATTATTTTTATTATTGTAACTATTGTAACTCAGTGTCACTTATGTTTTGTACTGTTGAACACTTTAGTCTAATTCTAGAAGGAGATCTGTATTGTGCATACATATAACACTTTTATTATCTATATATGTTAATAGCTTTCTACCTGCTTTTCTTCCACATCCTAATTCTGATGTTTTTATGGTCATATTGGCAGACAGTGTATACAAATTTAATGCCAGTACCAGATAAGGTAAATAATCTGTTGTATAAAAAATAATTTATGAAGAATTATTGTTACATTTTATAACATATGTAGAACAAAATCTATATATATTTTTTAAAATCTTGTAGTTTAAAATACCCGATGTTGAAATGGAAAAATTACAACAGGCTGAAACTGAAGAAACACAGAGACAAATTTTGGAAAGATTTGCACAAGATCTTCCAGTTACTAATCGCACCATAAAAGGAGGTAACATTTAATGTATTATTATGAATAACATGATTTATCATTAAAAGTATAATATGGTTAAAAAAATGTAAATTTAGGAGAACTTCGAGAATTATGCTGATAACATATTCTTTTTTTAGCTATGCGTTTCTGTGAGAAATGTCAGTTAATAAAACCTGATAGGGCACATCATTGTAGTGTATGTGGCACTTGTGTCTTAAAAATGGATCATCACTGTCCATGGGTGAACAATTGTGTAGGCTTCCACAATTATAAATTTTTCATGTTGTTTCTGGCATATGGACTTCTCTACTGTATGTTTATTACTGCTACATCTTTGCAATACTTTATACAATTTTGGAAAGTAAGTATAATCCTTCTCCATTCATACAATGAATTTCTATAAAAATATTTATTTAAATTATATAATGCTAAAATATGTATAATGATAATTTTACTTTAATTTGTGATTGATATAAGTTTTTCTTTTTGTAGGGCGAGTTAGACGGAATGGGTAGATTTCACTTACTATTTCTTTTTTTCGTCGCATTGATGTTCGCAGTCAGTCTTACATCTCTTTTTTTCTACCACTGCTATCTCGTTGTGCGTAATAGATCAACATTAGGTAATTATTAGATATTTTTATCTTAATGTTACACATAATAATGTGTTAATTAACAATTAATTACATATTTACAGAGGCTTTTAGAGCACCCATGTTCAGGACGGGAAAAGACAAAGATGGATTTAGTCTGGGAAAATACAATAATTTTCAGGAAGTCTTTGGTGACAATCCACGCCTCTGGTTTCTACCCATATTTAGTAGGTACGTATACGTTTCTATTTATCAATATTTTATACACGATGAGATTGTATAATTTATGAAGTGGGAACCATTTGCACAATACGTAATAACTGAACTATTATATCAATTTGTATGCTTCTAGTATACCGCCTATCATAATCTTTACCATAAAAAAAACAACTATGCAGTTTGGCATACTTAAACTTTGAAATACGGTAATATAAGTACTGCAGGGCCTTGAATATAAAGTGTGAGCAATTCTGATTTTTTCGAAGTTTATTTTTTTAAGGAAACAAAACAATCGCATGTTCTATGTGATATAATTTTTAAATTTTTGATTAGTATTTTTCTCTATATATTCTTATTTATAATTACATGGAGAATGCTCCGATTATATGTGTGAGAATATTATATATACATACATATATAATATACATATATATATATATATATATATGTATATATATATATAATATATGTATATATAATATACAAA